CACCATCCGGGGGTCTCCCCGCCGGCACCCCGGCTCCGCGGACATGCTCCAGCCTGTCGAATAAATGATGGTTAGAAGTAAAACACCAGCCGCTGCATGCTCGCAGGGTGCTCCTGCTCCCCTGGGGCCAGGCCCTAGGGTGCCTTCTGGCTCTACATGAGCTCCCTGCGCCTTCAGTCTGGCACAGGGTGGCTTCAGATGATAAAAACTGCTTTTTGGGGGTGCCCAAGGAAGTGGTGTGGAGGGGCACAAGAAGGACATGGACCTGTTGGAGCAGGTCCAGAGGAGGGCCACAAAAATGATCTGAGGGCTGGAGCACCTCTGCTACAAGGACAGGCTGAGAGAGTTGGGGTTGTTCAGCCTGGAGAAGAGAAGGCCGCGGGGAGACCTTATTGCGGCCTTTCAGTACCTAAAGGGGGCCTATAGGAAGGATGGGGACAATCTTTTTAGCAAGGCCTGTTGTGACAGCACAAGGAGTAATGGATTTAAACTAAAGAATAGATTTAGACTGGCTATAAGGAAGAAATTCTTTACAGTGAGGGTGGTGAAGCACTGGAAGGGGTTGCCCAGAGAGGTAGTGGAGGCCCCATCCCTGGAAACATTCAAGGTCAGGTTGGATGGGGCTCTGAGCAACCTGATATAGTTAAAGCTGTCCCTGCTCACTGCAGGGGGGGTGGGCTAGATGGCCTCTAAAGGTCCCTTCCAACCCAAAGCATTCTATGATTCTAACCCCCCTGCCGTGCTGCCCCTACCCACCTCCTGCTTGTTAGCATCCCTCCACGCCAGCAAGGGCTGCACTGGCCGCCTTCCCCTCTGCTGGGACCGCAGGAGACTTTCCACCCTGGCACCCTGTCTGGGCTTCTCTGCCTCCAGCCCCCACTGTGGATTTGCCCCACAGCGGTAGGAGACACCCAGTCAATGCATTTCATCCAGGCCAGAGCCATGAAGTGCTCAGACAGCTGTGAAAGATAAACCAAAGGAAACTGGTTTCTGTTAGCTAAAGGCGACAAAAAAAAAATTGGGATCGCCCTCTGGAGTGTTTCCATTTTAGGAGTGAAGAGGGGCTGTGGGAATATTGTTCCCCAGAAGATTATCAGCTTTGGTGATTTGCCCTAGAAATTCAGCAAGCTTTGAAATACGTGGCAGCAATGGGGAAAAAAAGGTGACACCAGTGAAGGGACACAGCAGTGACGGATTTCACCATCATAAAGGATAACAGAGAGGGCAGTGCTAACGTACATCGTTCAAAAGCAGGTTTGGGATTCCTTTGTCACCTGCCCTTTTAACAAAGCCTTTCTCCAGAAGGTTTTTTAATGCATCAGGCATCAGGTCTCAGCACCCCTGATTTCTCCTGTGGAGGCAATGACACGCTGAAATGCCTTCACAAAAAAGTGGGCACGTCAGATTTACTGTTCTTGATATTTCTAAGATAAAAATTAAACAGACCATATTAATTTAAACAAACCTCATTCCAGACTATGTCATCCATACAAAGGCATACAGAAGGGCACAAGCCCCAGAAAAACAAGGCAAAAAAAGAAAATAAAAACCCTTTCAGATCATCTTTTACGATTGCTAGCTTGTCTTTCCCTTCAGCTCTGACCTCAGTCTCACCTATGACCATGCAACACCTCCAGGGATGTCACCTTTGGACTCATTTTCTCACTCAGATAATACAAAAAACCCGCCCCAAAAGTCTCTTGCGTGCACCCCACTCTGAGGTCCTTGCTTTGCTGAGGGAGCTGTGTGCCCAGGTGAGCAGCAGCCTGCAAGCACTCCTGGCTTCCAGCTGTCTCCCACCGCCAGCTGGGTGTGATGCCGGTGGGAGGCTTGGCATCGGCAGCCTCGCAGAAGGAGTCCTCTGTCTGTCTGTCTGTGCTGTGTGCAACAAGCCACACATTTCTGAGATGCGGTGCTCCTCCCCGCCGGTACGAATCACCCAGCACTTGCAGGGAAAGCCCCCTGAGATAATGAAGTTGGAGCTCTTGCAGGCCACCCAGCCCCAGTCTTTCCGCTGCTGTCACCAAGACGGACAGACGTGCCGGGTATCTGCAAGAGTGCAGGCAGCTGCCCAGAGCAGCCGGGACAAAACCACCGCCACCTCCCCGGGTGCTGCCAACCACCTCACAGCCAAACACGGTCTGCACTCACCGCTGACCAGGCTGGGGCTGAAACAACAACCCAAAGCACGGCAAGACTTATTCCTGACCCCCAGATGCCAGAGCAAGACACATCCCTCGGAGGGACGTGTGGCTTTAGCATCACTGAAAACACGCAGCGTTTTGGTGGCGGGAGGGCACTTGCCTTTGGTGCAGGGGTGCTCCCAGTCACACAAAGGTGGGCTTCAGATCTTCTTTAAAATTCACCACAGGCTGGAGGCCGCTGTGGTGCTCTGTCCGGTGGCCCACGTGCCCACTGGGCTCTGTGTCCGTGTCCGTGCTACTGCTGCCCAGGGACCCGCGTGGGCTCTGGAAGCAGACCTTGCAGCAGGGCCGGTGGCAGCCATGAAACATCTCCTCGGAGCTGCTGCTGCTGGAGTCAGAGTCCGGATAATAGTACAGCGAGCGCAGGGAGGGCTCGGCGGGTCCCCTCGGGGCACCCTGCCACCGCTGCTCCTGCAGGATGCATGGGGAAGCACCCTGGGACTCCAGCCATCCTGGCCATCCCTCTGGCTGGAGGCAGACCTCCCCAGGGATGGCCAGAGGGGACGGTGCTGGGGGGTGAAGGAGCCCTCTGCCAGCCATCTCCCCTTCCCTCCCCAGGGAGATACGTGCCGAATCCCCACGGCCCCAGCCACCCGCCTCCTTCACCCCGGGGCCGGCACAAGGGGACACATGCCCAGGGAAGCGGGTGGAGGCAGAAGGCAGCGGGATCCTCCGCCGCCGCCTCGCCAGGTAGGGGCTGAGGGGAGTGTGGATGCCCGGGTAGCCCTCCTGGGCCCCCCACGTTCCTCCCTGCTCACCTGGGGGGCCCTGGCTGCTGCGTGGGAGCCCCCCAGGTTTTTCCATCCAGGCTCAGCTCTTGCAAGATTTCCCGCAGCTTCTCGCTGCTGACGTAGCTGACTTTGGGGGATGACTCCCAGGCCGTGCCAGCCGAGATGTCCTGGCCCGGCAGCTTCTCCAGAGGCTGCCCCTGCCCTGCAGCTGTCCCATGTTCCTGGGCATCTTTCAGGCCACGTTCAAGGCCATCCCCCATGTCAAAAAGCAGTGTCTGAGAGCAGACAGGCTCGTGGCTCACAGGTTTCCGGAGGTCCTGAGCATCGCTGCAAAGAGTCGTTTTACCCAGCAAATGGGGAGGCTGCCACCCATCCTGCTCCAGATCTGGGGGGCGGCGGTCCCCCGGCGCATCCCCACAATGCCCCGCATTCCGGGTGCAGGGAGCCGCTGGCGGTGCACGGGGGTCGCAGCCGCTCTCCGCAGACATCAGCCTCATCAGCTTCTCCTTGGCGCTGCTCACTTGCTCCTGCAGGCTTTCGATCACGGCGTTTTTCTGCATCAAACAAGTAAGCCTGTCAAGTGCGGGGCTGGCACAGGGTACAAAAATGCCACCGATCTGGAAGCAGGCACTGCCAGAAAACAAATCGCCCCTCTCCGCACAGAGAGGTGCTCTGACGCAGTGCAGTGGCAGGTTTGCAGGTTTGGCCTGCAAGAGCCTCAAGAGCCACACCGGCAGCGTGAGTGACCTCTTCCTCCCCTGGAGCCCCCAAGAGGCCCCAGATGCAGGTTTGGGAAGGGGGGCACCAGGGCAGGCAGCTCTCTGAGCTGGGTGCTCCCACCATGCAGTGTGGGCGAGGGAACAAGAGGCTGCGAGCTTTCCTGGGACAGAGCACCTCCCCACTAAATTAACCATGTTTGACTGGGCTGTGGAAACCAGGCTCTCCTGCTCTTCTCCCTCCATGTTTTTTTGAAACCCTCCAGATTATGTGTAAATTTTGGTGCTTTGGGGTGCAGAGTGATGTCACAAAACAAAGCCGCTCTTTCAAAAAAAAACCAGAGGGGGAGTGCCAGTGAAGACTGGGGCATAAGGGAGGGCTTCCTGCCCTGCAAAGCCTTCAGCACACAAAAGGGAAGGGGAGAAGCCAGCACGGCCAGCCGGGGCTGGCAGAGCCCCATACCTCGGTGAGCAGCCGCTTCATGGAGTTTTTCTCCCCTATCAGCTGGTAGAGCTGTTCCTCGCTGTACACTGAGTAGCAGCTCCTGCTCGGGCTGGTGAAATATTTTGCCATGTGGCTCATGGTTTGGCTTTCTTCTTCAAAGGCTTTCCACTGCTTGAGCTGGGGAGTAGAAGAGGGCGTTATCGGCGCGCTACGCGCAGCCCCTGCTGACACGGCGGGAGGCAGGCGCAGCTCCAGCGTGAAGGAGACAAAGGGATGGAGATGGGGAGACAAAGGCAGGGTCTGACGGAGGAGCAGAGACGGGCGGCGAGAGACAGCTGGGCGAGGGGCTGCAGCGTCGCTTGGAGTCTCCCACCCATCTGAGCCCTACTCTGTCCCTGGCTCCAGCTTTTAACACAGAGAGGGTTGGTGCCTGCCTGCACTGCAACCTCTAAGCGTGCTGTAAAAGCCCCTGCCCCCTTCTTCCCACTCCCTGACTCTGTGACAGACAAAGACAGTGTCACGCATGCCTCCTTATCCCCGAATCACGAGTGACAAGCTGAAAACCAGCAACGATTATTATCCATTTTCTCATCTCCTGTCTGTGTGGAAGCCTCGCGCAGCCCAGCTCCAGCTGCTCATCGATCTCAGATGAGCAATAGAAGAGCAAGCCCATTAAGAAAAACAAGCTGATGAATTAAAAGATCCAAGTTAAATAAAATGTTCAAGGCCCCCAGGCTACAGCAGAAAAAATGGTACAGGCAGAGTGTAAGTATAGCTCATCAGCTCCTCCACCCTTGCTCCAAGAGACCTCGCGCTTGGCAGAGCATCGCCAGCAGGCTTGGTGCTTGTCAGAGGAGGTTTGGGTCCTGCTCCCATGGGCTGGTCATCTAGTGAGTTGGGACTCTACAGTTACACTGCATCAACTGAGGTAGGAAGGGACCTCTGGAGATCACCTAGTCCAACCACCCTGCTCAAGCAAGGTCAGCTGGAGCAGGCTGCCCAGGACTGTGTCCAGCTGGGTCTTGAATATCTCCAACTGTGGAGACTACACAACCCCTCCAGACAACCTGCTCCAGTGCTTTACAGCCTTCACAGAACAAAAAAAACCCAAACTTTTTCTGATGTTTAAACAGAATTTCCTGTGTTTCAGTTTGTGCCCATTGTCCCCTGTCCTGTCAATGGACACCACTGAGAAGAGCCTGGCTCCCCCTCCCTACTTCACCCCTACAGGTATTTATGCACATTGGTGAGATCCCCCAAGACAGGGCTCTCTCTTGCACAGATCTGCTCTTTCTTCAGCTTCACCTCTTCCTCCCTTTCTCACCTCATTTCCTTGAGCCCAAACATCCCTCCAAACATAACGCTGAGTAAACAACTGTTTCCTCTCCCTGTAACAATGGGAGCATTTTTCCCACTAACATCGTGGCCAGACACGCCAGCCTGCTCCTGGAGGACATGGGAAGCAGAAGAGCCTCGCCTTGCCACAAAAGGCTTCCTCAAAACATCTCCATGTCCTCCCCCTCACTTGCGGCAAAGCCCAGCTTCCTCCTCTGAGAGTGCAGAGGAGGACAGCCTCCCCTGGGGACTGCCAGCAGCCACGAAGCCTCCGAGCCTGGCGAGGCCATCTGGATTGCTGGAGCCTACCTTCGTCCCTGCCATGGACAAAAACCTTCGGTGGGAGCGGGTGCATGGGGTATGAGGAGAGGACAACTGCGTGACGGACCGATCCCACCACCCATGTGGAGGAGGAGGAGGGCAGCAGCTGCCTCGCCTCCACGCATACCCTCTGTGTGGCTGCCAGCCACAGCACGCTCTTGCAGGAGGGGTTCTGAGCAGCAGCTCTGCAATGCGCCTGCTCTCCTTGGAGACTCAGGGGACTTGCTTGGGGAAGCAGAGCCACTGGGGCTGTGCAGGTGAGCCCAAACATTTGGGGAAAGAAGCAGGAAAATAAGTGCTTTGGCCCACACAGCTGCTGCTGTTAAACTCTGAAAATGTGCCTGCTTCCAGCCAGGTGGTGGGACGGAGGTGGCAGCATACCTGTGGGACAAAGATGAAGCAGTTGATTGTGGTTGTGCACATGAAGATGCCTCCAGAGGTAAAACCAAACAGCAAGTTGTGCCAAGTGCGAAAGAAACGGTGAACTAAGCAGACAGTGCCAGCAGCCAGGAAAACGAGGTTGACCCCGACGATGAGCGTCAAGGACTGGTTGACTGGCGGGGAGCTGACATTGTCAGTCAGACCGGCCAAGTAGGTCCCATACAGCAGGAGGATACTCTGGAAGCAGAAAAAAGAGGTTTCCAAAGTGTGGAAAATTACAGCCTGATGGTGTCAACCCCCACCTCATACCAAGCCCGGTGAGCTCAGATACACTCAGCGCAATCCTAATTAATGCTCTTTGATCTATAATGCAGACCTTCAGTGTGCAGCGGTGATGCCACAGCAAACACCCAGCATGTTGCTGCAGGTCAGAAGTGGGGCTGGGGAGGGAAGGCAGGAGCGAAGGCACTGGCAGGCCATGGGGGTCCCAACTGAGGGGCATGAGGAGCCTGAGGGTCAGGTCAGCAGGCAATGCCGCGGAGCAGGGCATGGCCCGGAGAGGCAAGATGTGAAAACCCTTGGGCAGCCTGGAGCAGGAGCAGCAATGATGGAGAGACAAGAGATGGAGGTCCCTGTGGGGATGCAGCGGTGGGGTGCCATCAAGGAGCAACGACATACCTCTGAAGGAGCAGGAAGGAGATTCAGAAGGACATTCAGAAGGAAAAAGCAAGGCAGAAGAAGCGGAGGTTTAGACTGGAGGGAAGAGGATGCACTTGGTGCCTCTTTAAATAGAAATCCTGGAAACTACCAGGTGCAATTCCTCTCCCTTCCCTTTGCCGTTTCCTGCCTGACTCCAGCAGCGGTGAAAGGGGCTAGAGAAGTGCTCTGTACACTGAGGCCCTCCCTCCCCCAGTGCAGGTCACTCAGAGCAGGCTTTCTTACCATGCTGCCCCTCAAGCACCCCACGCATGCATCTTTTCAGTGCGCTCAGGATTAAACTACCCAGCAGGCTGAATCCCTCCTTCCCTAGGGCACACTGGCAGGAAACACCGAGTATTTTTTGCCCACCTCTGTAGCACAGGGCATGGTCTGAATCATAGAATCATAGAATGCTTTGGGTTGGAAGGGACCTTTAGAGGCCATCTAGCCCACCCCTCCTGCAGTGAGCAGGGACAGCTTTAACTACATCAGGTTGCTCAGAGCCCCATCCAACCTGACCTTGAATGTTTCCAGGGATGGGGCCTCCACTACCTCTCTGGGCACCCCCTTCCAGTGCTTCACCACCCTCATTGTAAAGAATTTCTTCCTTATAGCCAGTCTAAATCTATTCTTTAGTTTAAATCCATTACTCCTTGGCCTGTCACAACAGGCCTTGCTAAAAAGATTGTCCCCATCCTTCCTATAGGCCCCCTTTAGGTACTGAAAGGCCGCAATAAGGTCTCCCCGCAGCCTTCTCTTCTCCAACAACCCCAACTCTCTCAGCCCGTCCTCGTAGAGAGGTGCTCCAGCCCTCGGGTCATTTTTGTGGCCCTCCTCTGGACCTGCTCCAACAAGTCCATGTCCTTCTTGGCTGTACGCAGGGCTCCAGGTGAGTTCTCACCAGAGCAGAGTAGAGGGGCAGAATCACCTCCCTCGACCTGCTGGCCATGCTGCTTTGGATGCAGCCCAGGATACGGTTGGTCTGCCTTCAGGATCATTTGCAAATACCATCTAACAAAATCCCTGCTCCTGCAAAGACCCCGAATACTGGGAACATGACTCCTACATTATTTCTGTGCTACCCAGTAAGTGCAGCTGTCGGCCTTTTACTAAGAAACATTAAATTGTTATTTGGGCATCAAGAAGTGCTTTGTGACCTGTGGTGCAGACATTCTGTAGACCCTTCTGGACCCCTCCATGCAGTGGCTGGTTGATTAACATGAAAGCCACCCTCCGGGTTCGGGGCCCTCCATGCAGTGGCTGCTTGATGACCATGACAGCCACTGCCAGGGTTAGGGTCTGGAGCGACACTCCTACAGACAAGAGAGGCTCACATGCACGGTCTTTGGTGAGACTCCCAGCTTCAGAGCACCATGAATTCTCAGGAGGGTTGTAAGAGAGAATGAGACCTGCCTCGCTGGGAACTAGGCTGAGACCCTGCTTCGTAGGATCTGCACTGGATCATAACCATGTTTACCATGGGGCACCTCCAAATACATGGCCCAAAAGCAAGCCAACTCCTAATCCCTGACCAAGACGAAAACCAGCACCAAAGTCCCATTTAAAATTCATATAGTCTATCTGGGACACAGACAACAGCACTGCTGTCTGGGAAACTAGGACTTTCAGTAAGCACAGGACTAAGTTTTTTGTTTGTTTGTTTGTTTGTTTGTTTTAATCTTGAGCAGAGGACTTTGCTCCTAATTCCAGGCATGTCCTTGGCAAGTCATATCTGCTTATTGTTCTGTGCCAGTAAAACCAGGATAATACACTGAGCGGCTTCACAAAGGCCTGAGCACATTAATGCCGTGGAAGATAAGAAGTGCTAGTACACGCAGAGATAGAGCCTACTCTCACATTAGTATAAATCCAGATCAACTCCAGAGAAACCACTAAAGAAATAACTCCATGACCCCCAGCAGATAGATAGGATCAGGGCCAGGTTCAACACAATGATAACGAAGAGTACCTGGGACTGGTAATGAGAATGTTCTATTCCAAAAAGCAGTTTGTAGGAGCTGTAGGCAAAAGCATTACCTGTCTAAACCCTAACACAAACTGCAGACAAAATCAGAGGCAGAGACACAGCACTGAAAGCCCAGGGAATGCCTGCAATCCCTAGCACCAAAGGACTTTTAAGGACAGGCTAGATTAATGTCTTTAAAATGAAGTGTAGGGGAGAGAAGGAGTTGGCCGTGGCGTGAGGTCTCTTCCTGCTCTTTTTCTTATGATTTTGGGTAGATGGTCAATGAGTATTTTACAGTGAATCAGAAAGGAACTGCCTGTACTGCACGCAGAGGTGGAGCCATTCTCAAAGAAAGGCTGTGATCTCACAAGCTTCATCAACATCAGCTTTCTGAAATGCATCCAGCCTCTGCCAACCCAAAGACACATAAGACCACAGATAATTACAGCGATAATTATGCCTACATAGTTACATCAGTATAATGAACTCTTCTGGAATAAGAACGGCCACGTGCTAAGCTACACCAGTGAAAGTGTACTTCAGTGGTATAATTAAGCTGATATACATCTTGTAAAGGTAGGCACCAAGCACTTGTCATCAGCACCTCCCTGGAGTCAGAGGACTCGGGCTGAGCTGCAAAGTGCATCACTGCGGTGGATGGCATCTGAGGCTTTTATGGAAAAAGTGTGCTTTAGAAAACAGTAAGACACAAGTTTTAAGAAGCGAGATAGATGAGGTGTAGGGGGGGTTGCAGGGAGTGAACTAGAGAGACAGTATGTGCACGGTATACATAAAAGAGATGGTGAGGCAGGGAAAAAGCGTCTAACGGCTTTTACAAGGGAATGCAAGAAAACATCAAGATGGGAAACACTGGAGATGGGAGGGCTTTCAAGATGAACAGGAGTAGCTGGAATCCGCATTTAGGCATGTAGCTTGGGAGGGTAGCGAAACTATGAATGCTGCTAAACAGTTTAGGCTATGAGACTGGGAGGAGGAGAGATACAACGCAAGAATCAATAAAGAGGTTACATACCTTAAACCCTAAAATAAGAACGAGCCAAAGATCGGAATAAAGAGATGCACAGGACTGCACCCGGCTCACTGAGCAGGTCATGCCTTTCTCCGTCGCCTAGGAGGCAAGCAGAAGGCAGAAGTGAAGGCTGCTGCCCGGGAGCAGGCACAGATCGATGGGCAGACAGGTCTACACATTTGAGCCGGTCTCCTCTGTAAATTCCTAAAAGGAAAGGCCAAAGCTGGTGCTGCCAGGGGCAGAGGGTTAAAGTGAGGAAGATTTTGGCACTCCGCTGCCAAAAGGACTGGTTAAACCTTTCTCTAAAGCTTCTGCAGATGCCATGGGCCTCTCCTTCACCAGTCCGCGTAGGTCACCTGGGTGACACAGATCATCCACCAGACCCCACTGCTTGGCAAACCAAAGCCCTGCAACCAGCTATCCCTTGCCAGGCTTGGGTGCAAAGACCTGGAAATTTTGCAGCGGAACCTCATCTCTGTAATAGACCAGACATAAACCCAACCTGGAGAACCCAGAAGGCTTTCTGGCCTTTTTTTCTTTCTATTTTTTTAAACAGCACCTCCAAACGCCCGACCACCCACCAACTTTGTCCACAGAGATCAGACAGGACACAGCACAATGTTCCACCGCCCCTCCTCATCCCTTTACCCGCAGCGAGACGCTGAGGCTTCGGAAACACTGGACTGGATCAGAGAATACCCACGTCAAGAGCAACACAGCGTCTGCCAGCACCAACGCTGCCACCATCGCCAGCAACTGGAGGTCTTTGATAATCTGCAAACACTCAAGAAGTAAGCATTACTGTGGGGGGCAAATGGGCACCAATAACCTCTGTCTCCCAGGTCTCTTTCTGGTTCTTTCTTCCAAGGGACATGTCTATCCTAATACTTCCCCCAGACTGGAGTCCAGCGGCTCACCTACATCCAAGTTGGCCACAGGATCTCTGTCTCCAGCTCCCAAACTCTTGGAGACCTAATTGGGCTTGGGGCCAGGCATAAACACTCCCTGATGGTGTGACTAGCTGGTAAATGCTATGACAGAAATCACCTCTTCCAAAAGAAGAGTAACATCCATTATGCCCATATCACAAGCAGAGACAAAAAGGGTGGGGGGGAAAAAAAGGAGCTGGTAGGATTATCATTTTACAAGTTTAACTCAGCCCCCGGTGGCTCAGGAACGAGAGTCCTTGCTGGCACCCAGTTCCCCTGCAAACCCTCTCATCTCACCTTTCCTCTGAGACCTACTTTTGTTGCCGTTGGAAAGTGGCCGCTGAAAGCTGTACGTGCACTGTTATATGCAGAAATTTATACAGGTGGCTGCCATTTCCCTCCCAGCTGCTGTATCCCCTTCCTTCAGTGCTGCAGAGGAGTTCCCTCCCTCCCTTCAAGAGGAGATCAGATGCATCTGGGGGCAGCCCTACATCAGACGCCCTTGAGGATACCTGGCTTATCGTCATCCCACAAAAACAATCAGCCCAGACCAGGACACAAACACCGGCGTGTAGCGTAATGAAGGCACATGGCCGATGTAAAATGAGAACAAGACCTCGCTCGGTGATGGGGCTGGGACTCCACCAGGAACAGGCAGCCTGGCAGGGCACCCGCCTGCCTGTAGAGGGGAAAAGCTCCTGCCTCATTGTGCAGGAAAAAATGAGGAGCTCATACCCAGCTAGGTGTGAAAGCAGACCTGTGACTGTGCCACCCATCCCTGTCATGTGGTGGTTTTATCTGCTATCCCGCACCGTTTTGGGACTTGCTAGTGTTCACCTGCTTGGAGACTCTGCCTCCCTCTGCATGCTGTGTACTCACCACCCGCTTGTCCGGCACCCGCTGGGTGAACACCTTGTAGAGCCGCCAGCTTTTCCCCAGGATGGGCCCAAACACCAGGGAGGTCCCCACGCACAGCAGGCAGAGCCGCACCTGCCGGGGGGGCAGAGCGAGGGGGCTGAAGGGGCAGCCACGGGGATCGCAGGGACACCCCGCGCCCTCCCACCCAGGGATGCGATAAAGATGGGCAGGGATGCGTCTATGGTCTTCTGGCTTCTGGAGGGTCATAGCAGATACTAGAAAGCTGACTGCAGGGTGAAATAAATTAAAAGGAGTGTATTCCTCTGCAGGCATGCCTGCTGCCTGCCTCTTCTTCCCCACCCCGAGAGGCTCTTGTTGGAGGAGCAGGCAGGGAGAGCCAGGCAGCTTGCGAGCAGTGGGGGCACGGAGGGTCCCAGCACCAATAAATCACTCGCTGGCACCTCCATTAATTATCCTCAGCCCGGCAGCTGAGCAGGACGGCAGGGTGTGCTCTCTCCCACATCCTGCTCTCCCACCCAGGTGCATGCACAGTCCCCGGTCTGGCAGGGTGGCTGCCCCAGGTCAGGACATGGGGGCTCATCTGACAGGTCAGCATTTTGATGAAGATCTGCTTTGCAGCCAAAAACCTTGCCTGCAACCTCGTGGCATCTGTGCCGCATTGGGCAGTGGCTGTGCAGAGGATCTCATCTCCCTTCAGGCTCCCCTCTACCTGTTGCACTTTTACAAGCCCAGCAGCCTGCCTGCCTGTGGGGCAGCTGCCACAGGCGCTGCCGTCTCCCCTGGGGACCTGCCTTGCATCCCCCCCGGTGCGGCTGTGGTTTGCAAAAACAGTGAAGGCCATTCAGACAGAAAGCATCTGGTTGTGTTTTGCGTAAGTGAAAACCACAGCCCAGCCGAATGCACCCAGCAGCAAGGTGGCGACAGGCTGCAGCTAAGAGAGAGCACATACAAACATGCATGTATACGCATGCGTGTGCATGTGTGAAGGCACCTGTCCCAGCAAACCCCCCGCTCACCTGAATAAGCTTTTCCACTGAGTCTCCGGATGGCAGGCTCTGCTCCTGAATCCCAAAGAGGTAAGCACTAGTGTAAGTCAAGCCACTGCCCAGCAGGGTCACAATGTTCAGATTGGGGCTGGACATCTTCACAATCCTCCAGGAAACAAAGCAGGGAAGGCGGTGACAGTTACTGAGCGTCATGACCTGGCAGCACAGGGGCAAGGTCCCCTTACAGGGATAATGATGGCCATAAGGAATGCTTGACACACTGTCCCCCCCAGTCCCTGCTTTCCACTCCTTCTCCAAAAGCTCAGCCATTGCTCCATGGTGCATACCCCATCCTCTCCCCTGTACTGCTGGAGTGCTTCACTACCCTTAAAGTATTCATTTTGCCCTACCCCAACAGTCCAGTAGGACAGCAAGATCCGTTCTCCCCAAAATAGATGGGTACCAGGCTTTCCCCATGGCACCTCTACCCCCTGCATGGATCTGCAGCACAGAAAAGTATCCCTGAGGCAGCTTCAGCCAGTGTCTTTATGGATAAAACTCTGGCAAGTCACGGGCTTCTAGCAGCAAAGCAGACAGGGTGACCGCAGCCATGTCTCTCTGCTACCAGAGCCCGTGCCAGGCAGGCAAAGCCGTGCAGCAGTGCCAGCACGTGCTGCGGCCGCACATCCCCACGGCAGCACAGCCCCACGGTCACGCAGGTGGCATGCAGCACAGCGCCCAGCTCGGCCCCCCAGGTTCAAGGCCAACATCTTCCTCCGCTGTCCTCTGCTGTAAAGGGGCAGAAGTGGAAAACCTCACCAACGAAGCCCCGGGGTGACTGACCCCAGCAGTGAGCTTCAGGTACAGCAGCTACAAATGCCTCCAGGAACAGGCTCTTCCCACTGCTCCTTCCTTTGAGGAGATACCTCCACCCTCAGCACAGTCTCAACTTCAGGAAGCTGCCAGCAATGCTCAGGTTACAGCTTCCCCTCTGTAATTTCACCCATCACTCATAATCCTCTAACTGTATTCAGGGAGGGGAGAATCGACCCACCAATCTCTCCTGACCTGTCACTCTTCTCCAGCAAGCCCATCAAGTGAAAGCTGTAGCTCCTGCCATCCCCCCTGCATAGCTCAGTCCCTTCGATCTGCTGCTAAGTTATTGCATTTCTCTACCCTTGAGCTCCCTCCTGGCTTGCTGCCTCGCAGACACAGAGCCTGAGATTCAACCTGGCTCGCTCCCTCCCTGCCTTCCTCTGCCTCAGGCCCTGGGGAAAGATATCCATCAGCTCACCCTCTCAGCTGCATGCTGAAAAAGGTCTCCTTTGCCCTCCCACGTTCAGCAGACCGACCTGTATTTATTTGCTGCAGTGCAAATAAATAACGCACATTAATTACAGCTTCACTCTGAGAATATCTTCAGAGGCCTAAATAATTTGGTAATCAATTAAGATGGCCACCAAACTCAACACCACTCTGCTTCAGTAAATCAAGTGCTTGAGACCGGGATGCAGGTCATGCAGCTACTGCACCGCAGTAGGCACGGGGCTCAAGATAAACCCTTACGAGCAGGACCCTCCTGGCTGTACAGTGGTTATAAGAAGCATTAACACAACCAAAGCACTGGAACAGCAACAGCCCGGGCTGCACACAGATGTGCCTCTCTACAAAACAACAGCACATGGAGCACAAAGGCTTTGCTAGGTGAAGCGTGGGAGAGGGCTGTATCTCTATGGGGGAAGCAGTGAGACCAATGAAGCTGAGAAGGTTAAGCTGAGAGGAAGGCTAAGCGCTGGCTGAGACAGTTTGAGCTACAAGGAACTGCTGAGCCTTTTGCTTGATTTATGCTGCATTCAGGGGAGCAGGACTTTTTACATCCTTTGTGCAGACTGAACAGCACCAAGGAAAGCCTGCACTTCACCACCAGCTTCTCTCATCAATGGAGATCATGTTCCCCACCAACGTGGACAACCACCAAGATCAGAAAAAGTTAGCAATAACTTCAGAGTACAAGGGGCCCAGCAGCAGGAAGGATATGTGCGCACTGTGGAGAGCACGGTGGCTTTGCTCATGGGGCTGCACTGCTCAAAGTGATGCTCTCAAGACTGTGGAGTGGAGAAGGAGACCAGCTCTCTTTCTGCTCAATCCTGTTGATGGTTTTATTGAATAGCACCTTCGGGATGAGACCATGCACTGCTGCCTGTGCTATGCCGGAGGGCATCCATGCTCTGTCTTGTTCACAGCTCCCTGACTTGGGGAAGAAGGGAGCAGGCCAAGCAGGACTGTCTCCACCAGTGATCAATACTGGGTGTGATGGAGAAAGCTGCAATATTCCTGGCATTGCCCTTGCTTGCCCCATGCTGCTGCTTCAGGCTTGCACCCTCCTGATCCTTAGCCGGCCATCAGCTCAGAGACTGGCCCTGAAGGAGCCCAACCCCACTGCCCCAGCTCAGGGGAGCTCTCATGGCAGAAGAGGGAAGCCCTTACCTGTTTTTCCTGAAGCGAATTGTGAAGACAAGAAAGAAGAGTGCTAGCAGGACTCCTCCAGTCAGGAACGTCCACACAGTTCCCAGGAGAGCAGCAGAGAAGGACGGGGAGCTCTTCCCACTGCGGTCAGAAGATGTCTGGGGGATGCAAAGGGGATGAGGAGGAAGAGGATGTTGCTGGCATGGTCACTCCCACATGTGCTCCTGCTCAGCCAGAAAGGACTCAAACCCACATCTCCCAAACCCCTCCTCATGAGCAGACACCCTGGCACTAGACCGAGAACTGCTGGCCAGGCTAAGGAGATGTGTGTAGACAGGACACATACTCTGCCACTTGCTGAGCGCACAGGAAGACAGGGCAGTACAGGAGCCCTCTTCTTACGGCCAACTAGCTAAATACATAATGAAGCCGTGCAAGTGACTCATAAACCTCAGGCAGCCCTAGTCATGGGAGAGAAGAAAATGGGTGATAGTTCCCCACTGTCCTTCGCTGGAAAGAAACCTCTGGAGAAAGACCTCGTGGCACCCCACTTTGTAGCACGCTTCTTTGTAAAGTTGGGTAGGGCAAGTTCCCACCCTTACCCCTACATGCAGCAGATAACCAACCAGCCGGCTGACGTGACTGGGAGCCAGCAGCAGAGCTGCCAGTCAGTGCAGAAAACGTAGAAAAAGGGAGTGGGACAGCGTTTTTCAGCTGCGTTACGCAGTGACGCACTGAGCTGGGCTCCACCCGTCTCCCAGCTGGCTGGAAACTAACTTGGTCCTAGGCAGACATCAGCTGAGAACTGGCTTTTGAGGGACACTCCCAAAGTGGGTATGATGGAGGCACCTCTCTCCTTGCACACAAGTGACCTTATGGTTTTAAATCTCCATTTTAAAATAGTCTCTGCTATCTCTCTATTAACATTGGATGGATAAAATGATCCTATGTGAAAAAAGAAACCTGTTTCCACTGCGGATCTAAAATACTCCAGCATTTTTAACGGGGTGTGCACGTGTGGGTTCATTCACACATACTATGTGTGCATGTTACTGACATTTTTTTTCCCCCCCTTTAAAAAAAGCATTACTTTTACGCAACTGCTGGCACATCCCCTTTAAGGGGAAGGAGGAGGATGGGGACTGAGCTGGGAACACACACCTCCTCACTAACTTCCCTGGTGCTAAGCCCTTTCTCAGGTATTCCAGTTCACGTGCACGCAATTTCTATAGCAGAAGACTATTTTCCCAACAGCTGCCACTGCCCCAAACTCCCAATTCTTCCTTCAAAGTCTGAGCTGTTTCTGCTTCCAGCCTTGCTAGAAATAAATCTAGCAAGGAGAAGTAAGGCAGTCATTTTGAGCCATGCCTAGTCTCCCTCTTCCCCCACTGGGCTCCATCTCCTCTGTGCGAGCAAGAACAAGGCACAGCTTGGAGAATGAGAGCCAATGCGTAATTCTTAGGACAAAAATGCGTCACTGCCAATGCGAGCATGGCTGCTCTGCGGGCTCCCGGCAGCTCACATGCTGGTGCCACGCTGGTCGCAGGGCTGCTGGGGAAGGCAAACCCCTGGCTGGGAGAGACAGCCAGCCGAGAGCCGATGCTGCTGCTGCTGCGTTATGCTGGGATACAGCTGCATGCACAGCTCAGCCCCGCTTTGCAGCAGCATGGAGGGATCCCTGGGGAGATACTCATCTTCCTCCTGCAAACTGCTCCCCACCTCCTCTTCTCTCTCCCCATCCCCTGGGGTGTCTTTTGGCTCTCTGGGAAATGAAGACCACACCAGACGGTGGAGAGGGTCAGCCAGGTCGGTCCCCCCCCATGCCTACACCAGTACTCGCTGTCCAAAAACCCCATCATTTGGCATGAATCGGGGCCATCCTCCCACCTGCCTGGAGCTCAGAGGGGCTGACGGGGCTGCTCGGGGCCAGTATGAGGCTGTAACGCCATCCTATTTCTGCATCCTGCCTGGCCGAGCCCGAGGGTAACACGGAGCTTTTGTCAGTAAGGTGAGCAGGGCAGACTCGGCATCCCAGGGCTCCCACACTTCACTCCCAGCTGCATCCACCAGCAGTATCTTTCCACCTCTGGCTGCTGCCGAAAGCGCTACTGCACCCTCTTCCCAGCAACCACCCAGGGATCAGAAACACCGCTGTGGTCTCCACCTTTCCTTTCCCAACACCCCCCCTCACCCCAACCGCTGTTTCCCTGGATGTTGATGCTACTTGAAGTTGATGGAGCGCTTCGTTTGCCGCTGAGCGGAGTAAATCCTGGCCCTAGCAGGGGGAATATTAATTGTAAAGCAGCTGCCAGAGCCAGAGGAGCCAAGCAGCTTACGGTCTTCTAATTAAAGGCCCGTGGTCACGCAGGACATGGTGGAGAGCCGAGCAGGCCAAACCTTGCTGGTCCATCCAGCAGCCCCATGTGGAGCCAACTGCAACCAGGTGCATCCCAGTGTCATTTCTGCTGGCTTAGTGGTGGTGGGGAGGTACCATTTATTATAGATGATGACTTTTAATTAAATCCTGCTCTATTCATATTTGAAAAGCACTTTGAAGTCCCAGGGGATGGGAAAGGTCAAGGGCAAAGAAGGCCATCCCAGGCCACTCCTAAGAGGCTGTCATGCCAGCTGACACACGGGAGGGCTGCTTGACACAACCTGGCTGTCGTGGCTGCTTCCTCACCTTCTGCCCAACTGCTGGGTGTCATCTGGGCAGGGCTTGTCTTGGAAGCCATCCCAGGAGGTGACAGCATGCAGCCTCCGGCTGGACCAGGATTGCTTGGTGGCTGTGCCCCTGTGCCCCCCTCTCCATCTCTCCACCCAAATCCACTTCTTCAGAGCAAACCTCATGCCCCAGCGCGCTCCCCCACCTCTGTACGTACCACTGTGACAGTGCAGAGCTCCTGCAGCACCCACTGCTGCTGCTCCTGGCTGCCAAAACTGGAGCTGCCATCACAGAGCTCAGAGCAGTTGAATCCCGGCTCCATAGCACATCCTCAGCCGTCATCCAGCCGTACCTTCGCCCCTGCCGGAAGGATGAGGGTCGGCTTTCTCCAGCGAGAAGAAGCCTTTGGCATATGCTGGATCTCCCCCCTGTCAGCAGGGCATAGGGAAGGGGTCTGGCAGCCCAAGGCTGAGCTTACCCAAAGCGATGCGGTGCACATCCAGAGCCAGGATGGGGAGCGCCCACCTCCTGGTGTGCCTAGGGGTGTCCTCTGCAGCAAGGCAAGTCAGCACAGGGCACGGCTCCCCACAGAGCACGGTGGCATCCCGATCCCTGCTACGCCACCCTGCAAACCAACACGCACCAGGGTCATGGCGGCCCCCGGCCCCTACACCCCAGTTGCCAAGCCAAAATCGCGTGCCATGCTGGTCTAAGCTGGAGCCTGGCACCCCGGCACCCCGAGCTTGCTGCAGCTTTCCTCTGCCGATGCGTTTTCCTGCACCGGTGCAATTTCAGGGCATACCTTTGCAGGCCCCTCCCTGGCCACAGCAGCCACTGCTGGTTTACTGGCACCATCCCTTCTTCCAGCAAAGAACCAGCAAGTGAAAACAACAACAAACAGCAACAAGTGTTGCCATCGCCTAATGGGACCAAAACCCCAGCCTGGGCAAGCAGGGGAGGAACACGCTTGAATGACGCGCGTACCGAAGTGTTTTGGCTGGCTCGGCCCAAGCGGCAGCCTGGCTAGCTGAGGAGCGGGTTGTTTATTAAGGAGATTTAAAAGCCCAGCACCTCCATGCCCCCCATCCCTCCCGGCGCTCTGGCTGCCAGGTATTGTCCCCGCCTGCGCTCGCTCCCCTCGCACCACCTTTGCCTCTGTTCCCTCTTTCATTTCTCTTTTTGGTGGGGATTTTAATAGGCCTCATTACCATTTTAGACATGAGGTCATACTTATCCTCAAGCATCCTTACTCAATTACCATTGTCACCGGTTTTAATTAGCTTCCAGCGCACGACCATAAGCAAGTCTCCCGTCGTTAACAGCTGGGGAGGAAGCGCAATAGCTCACTCCCTATTTGCTCCTAACAACAGGTGGGAGGAAAAAAATTATCCATATCGTGCTCCTCGGGGCTGCTCCCCAGCCAAACATCCCCTGCACTCATACCCTGTGCCTGGCCGGTGCTTCATCCTTCCCTACCACTACTCCTGACACTTTGATCCCCTCTCCTCACAAGTCCTTTCTTTGGAAAAATTCCCATCATTACATGAGCAAAGAAAGAGTAAATTTAGAACAAAGCATGGTCACCAGGACCTGGTCTGAAACTTGCTGTTCTTCACAGGGGATAATCAGGATTCAAATGGCAGAAAAGCTACGGGCGTCGTTCTCAGCTCGTGCACATAAACTGATTTTCAGCTTTAGAGAAGTCGCTTACAAGTCCCAGCCCAAAAACATCAGGGACAGCTGGCCAGTCATCCAAAATTAGCAGAGCCACCTCTGAAGCAACAACTGCAACTCTCCCACTAGCAGAAGCCCCAACATACCGTGGGTCTGGATGCTGTCCTGCCTGCGCCAGGACTGTCCCCAGTGCAAGATCAGCTCACCACGTCCTACAAACACAATATCACACTTTAGCCAGATTTAAGATTTTACATGCATAACAGAGATTTTTTCCAAGAGAGCTGGTGCAAGCCAGCTCCATCAAGCCTCCCTCTCTCTCTAGCTTGTAAACCGTGGTGGCTTTTCCCCCACAGCAGGACTACCCTCTGGAAGTTTCCATGCCCTTCATCGTTCAGGCTGAGCGATCAGACAAGGGGTATGGCTGCAGGAGATATCCAGCTGCTGCAGCAAATGCCAGGTATTGCAACAACAGTAGAAGGGCAGCGGAGAGGTGGAGACAGGCTCCATGTGAACAGTTCAGGGATAACACTGGTAAATGAGATACCGCATGGAGGGGCTCCATGCAGTGCCCAGGGATTGGGGTAGGAGAGGGGCACTGAACCTTTGATGCCGAGAAGACCTGCAGGCGAGCACTGCCCAGCCTCCCAAAGGGCTCAACTCCTCCCCGTGCCCCCAGGGGTGTTTAAAGCCAAGGGGTCCCTCTATAAACCCCTGTAACCTCCTGCCATGTTAGAGGGGGAGCCCACCTGCCAGGTGGACCACTACCAAGGCTGGCACGAGGCCAGCAGGCACGGCCCTCCCACGGCTCACAAATGGAGATGTTTCCACAAGGAGCCCCCATCCCCTGGGAAGCCGCCCCTTGGCAGAGGGCAGAAGCCCCTTGGGATCTCCCCAGCCCCCACCCCACTATTCTGCAAATGGCTCCCGCGCAATGTGGATAGCAAGCCGAAGCCAATTAGCGCTCATTAGTATGCAACAAAGCAAGCACCAGTGTGGTTGTCACCAAAAGGCAACAGGCATTTCCAGCCCGGCTCCTGCCTCTGGTGAGAGCCGGCAGGAACGCTGCTCCACAGCCTGGAGAGCATCGGAGGGGGACCGGTGCTGTGGGGGATCACTGCCCTTCAGGGTGAGGTTGGGCGATGGCTGGGGGGACAGACAGCAACACAGGCAAGAAAACACATCCTTAAAATGCGAGGGTCTCTTGAGGGCAGAGACTTGTGGGGTTTTTTGGGGTTTGGGTTTTTTTCTTTTAAGGCCAAAATACCCAACAATTCTGGTGGATCACTTCCAGAGCAGAATCACAGAATGGTTTGGTTTGGAAAGGACTTTCAAAGATCATCTAGCTCAACCCCTGTGCCATGGACAGGGACTTCTTTCACTAGATCAGGTTGTTCAAATCCCTGTCCAGCCTGGCCTTGAATGTTTCCAGGGATGGGGCCTCCACTACCTCTCTGGGCAACTCCTTCCAGTGCTTCACCACCCTCATTGTAAAAAATTTCTTCCTTATAGCCAGTCTAAATCTATTCTTCTTTAGTTTAAATCCATTACTCCTTGGCCTGTCACAACAGGCCTTGCTGAAAAGATTGCCCCCATCCTTCCTATAGGCCCCCTTTAGGTACTGAAAGGCCGCAATAAGGTCTCCCCGCAGCCTTCTCTTCTCCAATAACCCCAACTCTCTCAGCCTGGCCTCATAGCAGAGGTGCTCCAGCCCTCGGATCATTTTTGTGGCCCTCCTCTGGACACGCTCCAGCAGGTCCATGTCCTTCTTGTGCTGGGGGCTCCAGAGCTGGATGCAGTGCTCCAGGTGAGGTCTCACCAGAGCAGAGTAGAGGGGCAGAATCACCTCCCTCGACCTGCTGGCCACGCTTCTTTTGATGCAGCCCAGGATACGGTTGGCTTTCTGGGCTGCAAGCGCATACTGCTGGCTCACGTCCAATTTTTCATCCACCAGTACCCCCAAGACCTTCGGCACAGGGCTGCTCTCAATCCCTTCATCACCCAAGAGGAGTTAGTTCTCATTTTCTGTGTTTGTCACTCCAGAAACATTAGGCTCCTGTTTGGGTAATTTCAAAAGAAAATTCAGCTCCTAGAAAGAGGAAGGGAAAGGCTGAGAGCACTTTGTGCTCCTGTTAGCCTGAACATCACAGAGGGAAAAGGGAAGCCAGAGAGTGATGCCGACTGAAAGTGGAATTTACTGTAGTTTGATTTTCAAACAACAGACATGAGGAACACCAGGAGAGCAGTTTCCGACAGCACACATGCCCCGTGGAAGCAGTCACAGTGTCAGGTGAAGTAAAGCCCTTGCTCAGCCTGCTGGCTCTGCTTGCCTCGTTCTCCTCCCCTTGCCACCCTCGGTCTCTGTGGTATTGTATCTGCTGGCTGGTTGGGTCATAGTGGCTAGTATTTGGCCATGGCTGAGCATCGGCGTGCACGTGGACATGATCTAACAAGCCTGAAGTTGATAGAAAACCAATGACTGGACCACATGAAAAATATTAGCACCACCATCTTCTAACGTAAAAAGGAAGCACTGACTGTTAAAAACAATATTCGGATAAAAGCAATTTGCAGTCACCTCAATGGTTGATCTTCAGGGCTGGAAAACCTGTTTAGATCCTTCAAGACCCAAGATTACTTCTCTACCAATGCTGAGCAACTGTAGACTAATGCATAAATAACCCTCAAAAAAGATGCAGTTGATGACGTCTAAATGCACATCTTGACTCTCTCAAAGTTCCTTCTTCCCTTCAAAACCTTTCTTTTGAAAAAGCAGAGGAAAAAAAACTTAGAGAAGCTGAAAAATTGATGCAGCATGTATGGGCCCAGAGCAGGAAGAAGAAATGTTTCACCCCAACCGACTCCTTTTGATTTGGCTTTGAAAGAGAGACTTCTTCCCAAAGAACAAGGCAATGTCATGGCTCGGTGAATCAAAAGGTGGAAAACTGAAGACGTCAAATCACAGACAACAGAACAGTTGCATTCAGAAAAGTGCCAGTTTTCATGAGCCCTGCAATCCTGTCTGGTCATATCAGCCCTGACAGAGAAATGGTACATGTATACTTCTGCAAGGGAAGAGCAGAGCACATCTGGAGAAGCACATATGTTGGGAAGAACCTCTTGGGAAGATGGCTCTGTGGCCAGCTGCAACCCGTGGCTTTGCTGCACGCCAGCCAGCCAGAGAAGAACAACCGGGGGGAAGGAGCAATGTGCAGAGAGCAGAGCCGCTCCTGCCACCTCGGGAGGGGAGCAGGAGGACCTCAACTCACCCATGGCGGGTCTGTGCTGCTACTGTCACTGCTGATGGGAGACGGAGGTCTGCTGGTGGGGACCAGCCCCAGCTAGACAGGATGCCAGGCCACACACTTAAAATGGGAAGGTGTATGGATAACTGTTCCAGCAAGATGAACGACAGGAGATGGGGTTTTGCAATTCAGAAAACACTGGCACTTCTGAGACAGGCTCCTGCTTTTCCCTTCTGCTCTTCTTGTCCAACAAGATCCCTTCTTGTTTGACCTGAGAAACCTGCAATATTGCCAACCTCAAGGCGATCAAAAAAAATCACAAGCTAGACTTACTGCAACACCCCCTCCAACGGAGCTAGTTAAAAATCGTGAGTTAAAACACACAGTATATCTGAAGCTTATT